ACAGTGGAGCAGGGCTTGTCCGACGGCTGCAGCCTCAGGGCCACGGCCAGAGGAAGCCTGTCAGAAGGCGGACGCCTGAGGCCCAAGGCTGCAGGCTGATGGTCAGAGGGCTGCGTGTTTTGACGGCTAGCCGGCGGGACTGTGGGAGGCACATACTCACGAATTTCCCCTGGCTCTAGAGGGTTCGGTCCGCAGGGATCATGCTCTGTGCATGATAAGCGTCCATCCAGTTTGGAGATAAAGAGCATGCCCTCCCGGTGCTGCTTGCAGAAGGAGCTGGGACACATCTCACAGAAGGAAGCTGCTTCTTTGCCACACACATCACACTGATGCCAAGGGCACTCCCACTTCCCTGCAGCACAAACAGGAGAAAAGGCACCTTAGGAGGAAATGTAACAAAGCTACCCAGTTGGAAAGCTACAGCCCAGGGCGGGGGAGACCTGCTTGTAACGGCTCTCACTAAAACAGTGCCAGAAATTTCCCTTCTCTGCTCCTGCACCAGTTGCCTTGGAACCATTACACCAAGCACAGAAGGAAACCCAGACGCCCCCTAGCACAGGACTAATGCAAGGAAAGTCCTGCTTTCGAGCTAACCCCCTACTGAAAGGTTTCAGATGTTTCCAGTTTCAACTAGGGCTGAGTGAATTTGAGGACAACTTCCTCCCTTCACACTGATGTGAGAGAAGACACTGGAAGACAAGGAACTGAGGGCTTGTCTACACTACCGCGTGGGGTCAATCTAAGATACGCAACTTCAGCTACGTGAATAGCGTAGCTGAAGTTGACGTACTTACCGCGGTGTCTTCACTGCAGTAAGTCGACAGCTGATGCTCTCCCGTTGACTCCGCTTGCGCTCCCCGTTCTGGTGGAGCACCGGAGTTGACAGGAGAGCGCTCGGCACGATTTATCGTGTCTAGACTAGATCGATCACTGGATCGATCGCTGCCCACTGATCCAGCGGGTAATGTAGACAAGCCCTGAGTTTCTCTTGTCTCCCCCTGTGGGCATAGGACAATAGTTCTTTACAGAAGCAGTTTGGAGTTTCGCTCACTGCTAGTATCAGAACCATCCTGGAGAAAAACAATCACCCCCAACGTGCAGCAGAGTCAATTGCAGGCCTCTCTGTGGATTCAGCCTGTAGCACTCCCCAGCTGGGCACACACTGCACTGATTGTCACTGGCTACCGAAAGCCTCTAGTTTACAGATTCATAGAATCTGAGCCCAGAAGGGACCATTAGATCATCTGGTCTGACCTCCTGTGTACCACACACCATTACATTTTACACTGTTACCCCTGTATGGAATCCAGTCACTTGTGTCTGGCTAAAGCATCTTCCAGAAAGGCACCAGCCTGGCTCTGAAGACATCAAGAGATGGAATATCCACCACGTGCCCTGGGAGTTTGTCCCACTGGTTAATCACCCTCTCAGTCAAAAAATGGGGCCTAATTTCTCATTTGAATTTGGCTGGTTTCAGCCACCCACCATTAGTTCTTGTTATGCTGTTTTCCCATTAGATTACAGAGCCATGTAGTACCCAATATTTTAGCTGTGAAGGTACTTATACTCCATAATCAAGTCATCTCTCAATCTTCTTTTTAATAGTCTAAACAATTGAGCTCTTTATGATGAGAGAGTTAAGGTAACTTCTCCAGCTCTCAAATCATATTTGCGGCTCTTTTCTGACCCTTTTCAATTTTTTAACATCCTTTTAAAAACATGGACACAGTATTCCAGTATCTTCTCAGCGAGGCCATATACAGAGGTAAAATCAGCTGCTGACTCCTATGCACTACTGCCGTTTAGGCATCCCAGGATTGCATGCGTTGGTTTTTCCCAGCATTGCCCTGGGAGCTCATGCTGAGTTGCTTGTTCACGAGGAGTGCCTAAAACCTTTTCAGAATCACAGGTGCCCCACTCGGTAGCGATGGCCTGCATTCCTTGTCCCTAGATGTATAAGGTTGTATTTGGCTGTATAAAAACCCATTTTGATTGAATGGGCCTGCTTACCAAGCAATCCAGATCCTTCTGTCTGACTCCCTGCCCTCATCACTATTTACCATTCTGCCAGTCTGTGTGTCACCTGCAAATTTTATCAGAAGTGATTTTATATTTACTTCCAGACCGCGGATAAAAATGTTGAATAGCGTTGGGCCTAGTACCAGGCCCGACAGCCCACTAAAACACCTGCATTCAGTGACGAGTCTCCATTTATGGTTACTTTGAACTCTGTCCGTTAGCCAGTTATTAAGGCATTTAATCTGTGCTGTGTTGCTATTGTAAAGTACCCATTTTCAAAAGCAGAACATCATGTGGTCCAGTAATAGGGTGGCTTGCCCTTGGGATGGAGAGCCTGGGGCTACGCCAACCTGAGAACAGGACAAACCCCACCTGTGAGGGCCCAGGGGATTTCCTGTCTACAAAAAGCTGACAGGGCCCAGCTGGGGAAAGAGCTGGAGGGAAGAGCCTGCAAGGAGCAAGGTGGTCTCTGTGGGGCCCCGAGTCAGAAGGCCAGTCAGTGCTAGAAAGGAAGCTCAAAGTGGGAAGACAAGCTCCCCAGGCTAGGAGGCCTGGGACTGACCTGATCAAAACCGGGAAGAGGCTGAGAGCCCCAGAGGGGAAGTAAAGAGGCAAGGTAGGAAATGGCCGAGGGAAAACTGCAACATGGGAAAAGGACAGTACAGGGCCCTGGGCCAGAGCCCTGAGTCAAGGGTGGGACTAGGTTCCCTTACCAGCCCCAGCAAAGGGGGCTGCAGGCCGAACCTCGAAGACAGGTTGAAGAACAGAGCCATAGAGGGCAGGAGAATCGTTTTTTGCATTCAGACATTTTTGGGACTCCTTAGTTTGGACAAGTGTGACACCAGGAGTGGGCTTAAGACGGTGACCCAGTGGGAGGGCTGAGGTACTACTCCAGAGTTGGTGACCACTGGCAGGGTGCACGAGCCCCACGGGAGAGCTGCAATGCTGTATCTGGTCCTGAGGGGGCGCCTGGGGTGAGTGGACTTGCTTACAGGTACTAAGTCAAACGCCTCACAAAAGTGTAAGTATTTTAAATTTACGTAGTTACCTTTATCAACCAAACTTGTAATCTCATCAAAGAATGAAATCAGGTTTGTTTGATAAGACCTATTTTCATAAAACCACATTGACTTGCATTAATTATATTCCTGTCCTTTAATTCTTTATCAATTAAAACCTATATCAGTTTTTGTTTTATTTCGCTAGACAATAAATAGCTGCATCATCCCGTTTGCCCTTTTTGAATATGGGCACAACACTAGTACTCTTCCAGTTTTCTGCAATTTCCCCAGTATGCCAAGATTTATTAAAAATGAACATCAGCAGACCAGAGATATCCTCAGCCAACACTTTTAGGACTCTTGGGTGCTGAATTAAAAATGTTTATCTCTAGCAGTTGTTGTCTAACACTCTCCTCAGTCACTAATGGATTGGAAAATACTTCATCATCCTCATGTGATAGGAGTACAACATCCTGCATCTTTCCAAATACAGAACAGAAATATTTATTAAATACTTCTTCCTCTTCTGCATCAGTATGAACAATTTTACCATCTGCATCAAGTAATGGGCCAATACCACTGCTAGGATTTATTTTGTTCCTGATATATTTAAAAAAATCTCCTCACTGACCTTAGCCCTGCCAGCAATGGATTTTTCCCTGCTGTCTTTATCTTCCCTTATCAATTTTCTAAACTTCAGAATAATAATATATAAATTAGAAGTTATATTTCCCCCTTTTTTCATATTTGTTATATATTGATTTTTTATTTCTAATTTGCCACTGAACCAGGATGGGCTTTTAACCAAACTCCTCTTTCTTGATTGTGGAGTTGTGGCTTTTGGGCCATCTAATAACTCCCACTTTTCATTCACATTTTAATGCCTAAATGTGTTTCTGCTTCCCCAGCTCCCAATTTTGCTCATAATTTTTCTCTGCTTTGGGAAATGAGCCCTTTTGAAGCACCCAGTGTATATATTACTGGTTGGGACTGTTCTCTGTTAGCTCACATTGAATGTCAACAGTTCATGATCACTGGTCCCTAGGTAACCACCAACTTCCAGTCCAGTGATCAACTCAACTTTATTCATTACACTGAGGTCCAATATAGAATTGCCTCATGGTGGGTGTGATACCTCGTGTTGGAAAATTACGATCTATAATTTTTAGAAGCTCCAATTGTGTGTTCCTGCTGGTGAGCAGAGAATGTGCTTTCCCCAAGCCAGGCCTAGCAGTGCAGGTCTATACAGCTCCCTTCCCATGAGCAGAGCCCAGAGGAGTTGCCCAGGCATTACTGACCTGCTGGCCGTTTGGTCAGGTTGAGGCAGTCTGCGTGGTACACTTTGGGGCAGCCTGTCTTCTTACACGAAACTACCTGCCCTCCGTCTCCACAGCTGAAGCACTCATCCTCTCGCTCTTTCATGACCTCTGCCTGTGACCTGCGCTTCACCTGCTGCCGTCTTTTGAACTTCTTGGACTTCTCCTCTGTAAGGTTAGGGGGATTCTGCAAGTAAGATCATACAAATTAACACTGGTCTCTGCCCCCTCTCCTTTCTCTCTGCCCCCCCTGCCAGATTTAAGCAAGTGGCACAGGCCATGCTGAAGTATCCTGCTACAGGAGAGCTGCCCATCTAGCACACAACTGTCGTCTCCAAAACAAGGCAACTGGGGATACTCTGCATGTTCAAACAGAGGAAAAACTGGAATGAAACCCAAAGCAGAGTAACAATTCCATCTATACACAGCAGGGCCAAGCCACTTGAATTCCTGGGTTTCACGCCAGACTAACCTTCCTCCCTAGGCGTGGACCCAATCTCGTCTTTTTTTTTTTTTTTTTTTTTTGTAAACAAGAATCAAAAACGGATACGTTGGTGATTGAATGACAAACTCCAGGCAGTGAGATTAAACAAATGGAGAGATGTAAGTGTTTTTTACACATTAAAGAATTAAAAGTAGATTTGCTTTCATCTTACCCTGAAAAGTATCAAAGCCATGGACAGTGATTCTTGGATGTTAGCTTCCTATTATGGAGTGCATGGACTGAACAACAGAGCACATTTTAATACCTCTCATGATACATGCCATGCGTTATGCTGAAGTGAACGTGATGTGAATGGTACTTTCAACCCCATCTAGGGCAGTGAAAAGCATCCCATTCTGGGAAATAACTGCTTTGCAGAGGATACATAATTAGAAAAACAACATTGCCACTGAAACCTGAGACATACTGGCATCCGACACAGCTGTTTCTAAATGTTTCATGAAACCCACGTTAACTGTCTGTTGCTGCTACTGTATCTGGAAACGGTCTAGAAGCTTTGCACTGAGCGGGTTGGTAAAAATGTGCACTACATTGTATTTCGCAATGGTTGCTGATCAGAATTTAACAGAACTCAGACTGACGTATTTCATTATTTGGCTATTTACTGACATGACGAGTCTCTCCCCTTTTCTGGTGTGACAGCTGGGCTATTACAGCAGTTGTAACTGCTCTAGGTACAGTTGCAACGGTTCCCACTCTTACAACAAAGCCTTTCCTTTTTCAGCTAACATTTTCCATACTTGGATTTTGCCAAAAGGTGATTGTTTCTGGACAGCTTGACATACCCCTGGGAAGTTGGTGAGTAATGAGAGGATTTATTGACACACATTGTTCCCTACTACAAGAAACCTGACCACCATCGAGGGAATAACTAAAAGACCAGCTGAATTTGAAACTTCAAACTTTAATGTAAATAACCCTCTCGGCCAGATTTTGTCCTGCCCCTGAGCATGGGCATCTGAGGGGGGGAAAAGCAGGAGGTGAATGCCATGCAGGGAGTGACTGCACGGAACACAGGGTATTTGAATAGCAAGGGCAGTTGTGAAAGCAGGTGATCACTCTAAGCAAGACCCTGCAATACTCTCTTGCTGTGAAATATACTCCTTGCTAAAGAATTATTCTGCACATTCCGAGGCCTGGTCTACACCTAAAAGTTAGATCTAGCTACATTTCTCATGGCTGTGAAAAATTTTGCACCCTGTGCAACATGTAGTTCGGTCGTCCTAGCCCCCACTGTCAACGTGGCTAGATCGATGTCAGAATTCTCTGTTGCTTAGACACTTCCTACATCAGTGGAAAGGGGAGAGGTGGATTAACTCCGTCCATGGACAAACCCTTTCTATTGATGTAGGAAGCATCTATGCTACAGAGGCACAGCTGCGGCACTGTAGCCTCTGCAGGGTAGATGTGGCCTGAGCTCTGAATTTTTTTTTTTTTTTAAGTTTCCAGCCTTTATGGTTTTAAAGAGCCTTTAAAACAAACAGAAAGGTATGGAATGGCTGCCGTGTGAGGAGAGATTAATAAGACTGGGACTTTTCAGCTTGGAAAAGAGACGACTAAGGGGGGATATGATAGAGGTCTATAAAATCATGACTGATGTGGAGAAAGTGAATAAGGAAGTGTTATTTACTTCTCATAACACAAGAACTAGGGGTCACCAAATGAAATTAATAGTCAGCAAGTTTAAAACAAACAAAAGGAAGTATTTCTTCACACAACGTAGTCAGTCTGTGGAACTCTTTGCCAAGACTATAACAGGGTTCAAAAAAGAACTAGATAAGTTCATGGAGGATAGGTGCATCAATGGCTATTAGCCAGGCTGGGCAGGGATGGTGTCCCTAGCCTCTGTTTGCCAGCAGCTGGGAATGGGCGACAGGGGATGGATACCTTGATGATTCCCTGTTCTGTTCATTCCCTCTGGAGCACCTGGCATGGGCCACTGTCATAAGAGAGGATACTGGGCTAGATGGACCATTGGTCTGACCCAGTATGGCCGTTCTTATGTTCTGTGCTGTCTTCCTGAGTCTGCAGATAGCCTGAAACAATCCCTCTGAGGGAGTGAACTACCTCAGTTATCAGACTGAGATGTTAATTCTGGATCCCAACAATGGCAAGTTAAGTGTAAACACCATTAGCTATTTCACTGCTGATTGTTTTATCAGAAACATCCATAATGTGCTTATCATAAACCCCCCAGGCCCAAAGCATCAGCTGCTCCCATCCAACTGCCAAAACCTCCAGCTTCCCCTGATTTCTAGGATGCAGCACAAATAGGAGGCGTGCCAGGCACTGAAAATGTGGCGACAGCACACAATAAACTGAACTTAGTATCGGAATAAGTAACTGAGGGGCTCACTGAGACAACTGTGCGATTCAGCTCACCCGGAATTAGTGGAAAAGCTGTGGTTTTCATTGCAATGAGGCTGCTGAAGAATTTCCTATCTGCTACACCACAAGGCCACAAAACCTGGGATCTCGCTACAGAGTTTAGGTCCAGCTTGCTGTGGCGAACACAGGGCCTGGCCTGTGAACTTGTGAGGCTTTGGTGGTGCAGCGTCTAACTCAACTCTCAACGAGGCAGTTTCTTGGTTGCAGCACGTACCCACTAACTCCACAGCACCGAGCTTACAAGCTGCTTTGGGGAAGCATGTGGAACTACTCAACCGCTGCGGCTCAGACGCTGCTGGCGAAGACTGCGAGCCAGGCCAACTGGTTCTGCATGTTTTCATTAAGAAGTCCCCATCCCAAGCAAACAGTAACATTCAAAGTTAAAAAATTAATTCCTGTTAGTGCCACATTAAGGTTACGAAATCAAGTGCTCAAAAATCAGGACGCTCTAAAAGCTAACGTTTCTCCTCCAATGTTAGCTCATCCCTGGTGCATGTATAGAGTGTTTCTGTTCCTATTTTACTAGTAAACTTTCATGTATTATTGCTAAACCCGTGGAGAAAGATACTTATGACTTCTCTTAGTGCAGACAAGGCCTCTGTGTGGGTCCTCTGCTCTGGAATTTGGTTCCTACACTGATTTAACAAAGTCTAAGATTCTGTGCTACGGTAACTTAAAGTGATGTACTTGCATGTTTGCCCATCTCAACCCCAGCAGGATTTTCACAACCACTTTGAAAATACAGTGGCATTTATCATGGCATTTCTGTATCCCTGCAGCAAGCAGGCCACTCCAATTCAAAGAGCGCCCTTGGAATAAAAAGAAGCCAGAGAAGGGCTGTCCTACCTTTGGCCGTACTCCTAGGAACCCGCTGCAATTCGGAGCACCACATTTGCAAACTGTCTTTCCATTCCCCAAACATTCCAGGTTGTAGTTGAAAGTCAGCTCAGTCCCTGGTAATAAAAGAAATCAGTAGGCAACATCTGGACTGTGACAAACCACACGGCAAAAAGTTCTGCTTCTCCTGCTGAACTGAAGAAACACCAGAACCTACTCACGGCTGGCAGAAATATGGAGGGGCACCAGCTTCTTCCCCCTCCCATAGGGTAGATCTGCACGGATTGGCGACTAGATGCGGACCCCATCACCTGCCATATTCCAGGTTTTGACATTGCATTTGTTTGCTTGCCAGTGGCAACCCAGGAATCATATTGCTGTGCCCTGGGCAATTATAACTGTGCCACTCTGCTCAGGAGCACAGACGCTCACTGAGAAGGGGGGAGGTGGAAAGACAGGGAGCAAGGGGAGCTGCTACGGCTCGATGGGGGCTGCGGGACCTGGAGCCGGGCTGTGACAGGGCATCCCGACAGTTCCTGCCATTCCTAGGGCAGTACCTCAGTATCTGGCTCCCTCTGCACTGACATCCCCCTGCCCAGGTGCCCCTGCACCGTCCCCCAGCCTATCCCAGCCAGTAGGGGGGCTTACACTGTGTCCCCGCTGCATTGTCCCTGCACACCAGCGCTGGCAGGCCCAGCTGCAATAGCCAGCCGGGAAAGGAGAGCAGTTCCTACCTGCTCTCCAGCGGCCAAACCGATGCTGTGTGCCACTGGAGCTGCTCTGGCCCCTCCTCCAGGTCCCTCGCACCTCTGCCCCCCACCACGCATGCGCATGGAGATGGAAACACACCCGGGCCCCGCTCTTGCCGCCACAAGATATTGGGGGGTGGAAAACACGGGGCAGGTGATGGAAACATATATCAGCCCCCCCAATATTTCCATTGCGGGGGCCCTTCGCTAATCCCCCAGTTCTGCCGCTCCTGCCACGCTTGTGTGTTCCACCCTTTGCGTACTGAGGCTTTGCTCCAGACCCTCGCTAGAGACCCTTCCCTTTCCTGCCAGAGGCTCCCCACCATCGATAACTCTGGGTCAGCAACAGAACAAGGTCCCTTACCAGCTTTGATATTGACAAGAGCAAAGAGCCCAACCCGCGTATCGCCATTCACGGACCATTTCTGAGTCTCACAGTTGGGCTGGCAGCAATGGTTCATAAATCGAGCGTAATTGCCCTTCGGTCCGGCATCGATGATTCGATCCTAAAATCACAAGGAAAAGCAACTTTTCTAATGCAACGTCTCCTGCTCGAGCCACCCCACAAAGGTCCTGCCTTGCCCCCAAAGCGTGTTACAAAATACTCTCAGTGCTGGCTTTAAGTGCCTGGGTATGTGTTTTACAACGCCCTACAGGCAATACCTTTTACCGTGTGCACTTCTGACACCTGGCAGAAGCCAAACAAGCTTCTGCACTCTGTTTTCCTTTGCTGAGGCTTGCAGGCAAAGTGTAAAATGCAGAGAACTGCCCTTCCCCGACCCCCCGAGCATCTCTTCCTCCAATGGAGATGGAGGCCTCCTAATGAAAGAGGCTGCTGTCTGGCACATCCAGCTTTTCCTTCCTCAGAAGAGTAAAACCCAGGGCTCGTATCGGGCCAGCATGCTGTGGCAGGGCATACCAGCACCACTCCTATGCTGCTCTCTTGTGCTCCATAATCATCTTCTTATTTATTATTTGTATCACTGAAGCACCGAGGAGCCCTAGGTGTGGACCTGAACCCCATTGTGTTAGGCGCTGTACAAAGAAAGAGTCACAAGATGGTCGGTCCTGCCCCAATCTACGTATAAGACAAGAAACAACAAATGAATAGACAGCTGGGGGCGTACAAGTAAACAATCAGACAATAATGGTCAACATGACAGGCGGCGGTCTCTGCGCACCGCTAGTCTAACTCTTGCCAACCTTTTTACAGCTGTCACAGCAAAGGAGATTTTCGAGACTGTATCTGCAGGTGGATAATGAGGTAGCTCCTCCCAAGCATGTGGGGCAGCACAGAGGAAAGCACAAGGGAGCTTGCTGGAACATTTAACACGTGGGCAGCGCAGGTCATGGGCCAATCAGAGGTGAGCACTGGCGGCTTGATAGCGAATATGAGATGATTGGAAGGTCAGGACAGGCCATGAAGGGCCTTGAAAGCAAAGACAAGCAGCTTGTGTTTGATGCCCTAGAGCAGGGGGAGCCAGTGGAGGGTGCAAAGGGAGGTGTGACATGGTCAAGGCCTGTTCTGAATGGATGCGAGCAGGGCAAGGTCGCATTTGTCAAAGCCAAAGAGAAGGAGGCTGCAGTAATAGAGAAGACGAGAGCTTGGGATGAGCATTTTAGCTGCACGGATGGCTGGGAAAGGCCGTCTCTTAGAGGCACTACGCAGAAAGAAACAGCAAGATTTAGACACAGCCTCAATGTGAGGCCCTAGCAAGAGCGCCAAGCCGAAGATGACACCAGGTTATGGGCCGGAGTGACAGGCAGGATAGGACAGTGTGGTCCACAGTGATAGTTTTCATTTGCCTTCCACGATGCCTGCTGGCGGAGCACTGATCAGGTTGTAACAATCACACTAATGAACACGGCATGTCTGTGGTGCAATTACCTCTGCCCACCTTCAGGTTTGGGACTGTGCTTTGGTGCAACAATGTTGGTGAAAAGACCTGAGATGCCACTGAAAGAAAGGAGGCTTCAGGTTCCATCCTGTCAGATCCATGCTGCTATGGGCCAGGTCAACCATCAACACCTAACTGGGGAGCTTGACCCTGTGCTTCTTGAGACTCTGACGCCTTTCAGGCTTCTGGGTCAGCTATGTGCAACTATTGGAAAAGTCGAAGCCCAGGAGGGCTTCTGAGGCGCCCACTCTGGGACCGGATTGCTCATGGAGGCAGGTGCGAGCGCGTCTCAGTCAGGGCCTTGAGACCCCACGCATGAGGCGTGCCTGTGCGCACAGACACTGCACGGCTGCAGTGGATAAGCACTTTAAAGCTCCTGCGATACTTCTGCTGTCTCTGAAAGGCGACAGAGAAGGACAGAGACGCAGGTGAGACAGCAAGAGTGCAGAGATGCCTCTGCGTGGTGCTCGGGTGCTTGGAATTCAAGTCATGAGGAGCCTCAGAAACTCAATGATGCACCGAATAGTGGAACAAGGGCCGAGCGTGCTACTGAGCACTTTTCTGACACCTGGGATCAAGGGAGGCCTGGAGCCAGTGGAATCCCGTGCTCCCAAACAGTGCCCTAAGGGTCTGTCTACACTGCAATGTAAGCCCAGGGTTAGCAGAACTCGAGTTAGCAGAATCTGGGTTTGTTAACCTAGGGCTTGAACTCATTTGTAACCCCAGGTTAGGAATTGTTGAAACCCGAGTCCCAACCTGGGGCTCCAGCGTCTACACTGCACTATGTGGGCCCGAGTACAAGCACCAGGCTTCCTACCACCCTCCCAAAATGTGGCCACTCTAGCCCTTTGCTCTTGGTGCAGTGTGGGAAAACTTGACTGTCCAGAAGCAGTTGGACACGTCTATAGTTGCTCCAAAGACACCCGGAGAATTCGCCTCTGCTGGGGTGGGTATCGCCACAAGCGAACAGGGCACAAGGCCAGGACCTGAAGCTGGAGAGTAGACAAAGGGCGTGATGGGGAGGGGAGCAGTGCTGTGAGGTCTGTGAGTTGACAATCAGCAGGTTACCGTCCCAGCAGGTTCCTTCTCGGACCATAGCCAGAAAGGAACTGTGCTCTGGTGAACAGAAGGCAGCCTCAGGGTGGCCTGAGACGCTTTAGGCTGGATCCACCATGGACCCAGGAACAGAGCCATTAAGAGCAGAAATCATATTTAGAGAAATCCTATTGCCTGTCTGCCTATATGGCCCCTGTGACCATCACATCTGAGCACCGGGGAATCACGGAATGGTAGGATTGGAAGGGACCTCGAGAGGTCAGCTAATCCCGTCCCCTGCACTGAGGCAGAACTAAGTATTATCTCGACCAGCACTTCTCAAACTGGGGTCTGCGAGGGTACTCCAGGGGGTCCGTGGACCCCGCTGATCAACTCCTTCCCCTCCGCTTCTCCCTCCCAGCGCCTCCTGCACATGGGGAACAGCTGTTCAGCAGGTGCAGCAGGCACTGGAAGGGAGAGGGAGGAGCAGGGACAGAGCGCTTGGGGGAGGGGGCGGGAAAGGGAGGGAAGAGGAGGGGCAGGGCTGGGGCCTTGGGGGAAGGTGCCTGGGGCTGAGCAGGGGACTTGGGGGTTAGCAAAAAAATTTAAATAAAAATGGGGGTCCTCAAGTTGCTAAAGTTTGATAGCCACTGATCTAGCCCATCCCTGACAGGTGTTTGTCCAACCTGCTCTTAAAAATCTCCAGTGATGGAGATTCCACAGCCTCCCTGGGCAATTTGTTCCAGTGCTTAACCACCCTGACAGGAACCTTTTCCTAATGTCCAACCTAAACTGCCCTTGCTACAATTTAAGCCCACTGCTGCTTGTCCTGTCCTCAGAGATTAAGGAGAACAATTTATCACGCTCCTCCCTATAATAATTTTTTACGTACTTGAAGACTTATGTCCCCTCTCAGTCTTCTCTTCTCCTGACTAAACAAACCAAAATTCTTCAGTCTTTCCTCATAGGGCATGTTTTCTAGACCTTTCATCATTTTTGTTGCTCTTCTTTGGACTTTCTCCACATCTTTGCTGAAGTATGGTGCCCAGAACTGGACACAACATTCCAGCTGAGTCCTCATCAGTGCGGAGTAGAGTGAAAGAATTAATTCTTGTGTCTTGCTTTCAACACTCCTGCTAATACACCCCAGAATGATGTTTGCTTTTATTTTTTTTGCAACAGTATTATACGGTTTACTCATATTTAGCTTCTGATCCACTATAACCCCAGATCCCTTTCTGCAATACTCCTTCCTAGGCAGTCATTTCCCACTTTGTATTTATGCAATTAATTATTCCTTCCTAAGTGGAGTACTTTGCATTTGTCCTTATTGAATTTCATCCTATTTATTTCAGACTTCAGAAAGGGGTACAGTACTCTGGAAAGATTAAGAGCCACTGGTCTAAGATACTGGCAAGAGAGAGGCCCATCCTGTACCTTGTCCAAAGTCAGCATATAGAAGTTGGTAATATCATGCTCCTGTGCGTAGCGGATTCGTGCCCGACACTCCTCCTCATCAATCAGCTCTCCCACGTATTCATTAACAAACTCACCCTGCAAAAGAGAAAGTAGCGGGCAGTTGCTCAGGACTTGCTGCTGACGGAAGCAGAACTCTTTGGGGGAGGAAGGCACTTCTGGGCTAACAAAGCTTGCTATCCATTTCCTCTCTGGATACTTTCATTTCATTAAAGACTAGACCCCAGGTACTTTGCAGCACATTTCACCTAGATTCTGCAGCAACTTCATAAATTTCAAACAAATTTATTCAGTAGGACTATTAATAATATAGTCACCCATTACCCCCTGTTCTATTTGAAAATAAAACATGTAGGGACAGCATAAAGAAAAGTGAATTTGGGTTTAGTGTGTTACAGAATTCCGTACTGACACCTGCTCCATAACTGAATTACAGTTGTCGGTAGAACTGATACACAGCCTGGGTCCTGGAACACAATCAGCAACAAGCTTTGCAACATTGCAGAGCACAGGGCACCTGGTTTGAACACTGCTGGCATTTATCTCATGCAGTAAAACCTGTTCAAGAGGCCACCAAACACAGTGAGTACAATGCTGCGCCACCTTTACCAAAAGACACCCCCATTTCAGCATCTGAGTTTTGATGGTTCCTTGTGTGGTGGTTACAGACAGGTTACATGGAAGGTTTTCAGGGATTACCACCTACACTGCATCACGGGCAGCCCACAGAGGCCAGGTCAGGAGCCGAGTTTGGCCTTCCTCTCTCTGGAGATGCCAACCCCACCTTTGCTAGTCTGTTCTGCTAACAGCCCTTACACATACGTCTCCGTCCTCTATTCAGCTTAATAGTTCTCTGCTTTCCTTTGTTGTTTAACACAACCCTCTTTACTATGGAGAAAACCCCTCTGGCCAGCAGCAGATCTAGACTTCTGGATTTTAGAAAGATAGGGGTTTGGGCAGTAGGGGGATTCCCCCACATCCAGATATGCTAGCTTCAGCCATCACTACAGCTCTCCCAAAGACATTGCCCTTTTTCTGAGGGCTTCCCCAACAGACACTAATTATGACGTGGGTTTCTAAGTAAGATCCCCATGTGAAGAATGCCTGGAGGTTCCAGAATGGAAGCTCAGTGCTACCTGTCTGGGAAATCTCAACCCAGTCTAAGGCCTGCTATCTTAGTGCCCATCACTTTAGTGCAGGGGTTCTCAAACTGGGGGTCGCAACCCCTCAGGGGGTCACGAAGTTATTACATGGGGGGGGGGGTTCACGAGCTGTCAGCCTCCACCCCAAACCCCGCTTTGCCTCCAGCATTTATAATGGTGTTAAATATATTTAAAAGTGTTTTTAATTTATAAGGGGGGGGGGGTCACACTAGGAGGCTTGCTGTGTGAAAGTGGTCACCAGTAAAAAAGTTTGAGAGCCACTGCTTTAGTGTCTGAGGGCCATATAAGCAGATGGACCAAACCATCTTCTAGGCTATCACGGGGAGTATTAGATCCCAAGGCACTTCCCCAGCTAAGCTAGAACATCCCTGCCACCTGGATGAAAGCAGGTCAGGAAACTAAAGTCATTCATGTCTCTTCTATATGGGCTCCTTTGGTCAGACAATAAGAAAGTTATGGAAACCATAGGAAGAGGTCTATTAAGGCTATCACGGGGAGTATTAGATCAGTGTTACCACAGAGTAAAATGAAGACACATAATGGGTACCTTTTTAATGTCCCTTTTGGCTTGCAAGCCCCAGCCTCGTGCCAGCGTGCGGAAGATTTCTACCTCTGGGTACTGCCTCTTGGAGAAGCACTGGTTCTGACAGCGCTCCCCAGCCGGACAGACCAGGGGATGGCACTCATACAGCAGCATGCGATTGATGCACTCCGAGTCCAGGCCACAGGGGTTTTCATCGCTGTGTTTGCAGTTGCACCGTGGTATCTCAGACAGGTCTGCTGTGAAGATTTGCACCTTGCCCACTGGTCTGTTTACCTTGGAATGTGCACACACAAGGTTAGCTAGCTAGGAACAATCGACGCTGCATTTAACCCCACCCTCTGAGCATACAGGCCACAGTGCATATCAGTTCTAGCAAAGGACTGAAGGCCACACAGGTCTAAGCATATACGCAACTTGTAGGCATCCCTCTAATTCCATTCACCCCCTAGCCTCTGGCTGCACTCAAGAGGTGCAGCTTTACCACTGCCAGTCTGTGGCACGACCCACGCATCATCCGTGTGAAATAACATGTTCTCCACTCCCTAGAGACAGGCCTTAACGTAGCTTCTCTTTGTGGCCTCTTGGTTTTGAAGAAGTTGCCTCCCAACAGTTCTGTGCCATCCACCACCCCAGACTGCACACCTGTGACAGGTTGCAGGGACTCTGCCTGAGCACTGGCAAACAAGCAGTTAACTCCCTACCCAAGTGTGACCAGACAAGGCTGGGGTCTGAAGGCCCATTCTGAAACTCAGAGTTAAGCCAGGAAGCTCTTTAAAAACATCTCTGTGAAGAGGTAGAGGGCAGCACCAGATGGAGAAGAGATTGGCTTGTTTGGTAGCACAAGCGGGGCCTTTGACTTGGTTAAAGACAAGAACTCTGAAAGGCGGGCAATAAAGAGATGCTCTCTTGTGAAAAGCCCTTTGCGGTTCTTTGTACCAACTTGCAATCCCTTCTGAATCCACTCCTCTGCAATGAACACCAGTAGGTTACTCACTGGTAACTAGAGCTGTCCTCCGAAGCCCTCAAGACCCACCTCTATCGCAGTGGTTCTCAAACAGTGGGTTGGGACACAACTGCACAAAACTGTGTTTTCCTTCGCCACTGGCTAAACCCACGTGGGGGAGAGACATTTCCGGGACTGTATATGACTGGCCTTTAGCTAAGTAAAGATGCCCCGAGATGTCTCAGTAAATCAGAGCACCTCTGTCACTGATGTCCAGCAGTGACAACAGCTGCTGCATGAATTCAGGTAGCAGAGAGGACAGATGAAGTGATTCAATATACTGCTGGAAGCTGAAAACCTTCCTGTCAATCCTCCCTGGGGGTAGCTAATCAGCCTTCAGAGGCATGCTCCACAGTGCAGGACTCTGCAAGCAGCAAAGGCATGTCTGTGTGTCTGTAAATATCCTGCACCAACAGCTCCGTGCAATGACCCAGGCCTCCCTCTAGCCCCACCAGCTGGTGATGATGTGAGGTCCTCACCTTGATATGTTTGTAGGGAGGAGGCTTCTTATCATTCTTTCTGTCTTCCTGCAGCTGCCTCAGTTCTTTCTGTGCCTTCAGCTCTTCAAACCTCACAGCCGCTTCCTGCAGAGCTGAAAGAAAATAGACGCTGTGTTACAAGAAGCCCCTTGCGCTAGTGTTGAAGTCAGGTAGCCTGAATATTCTCCATGGCCACGTTTGTGCTCAGTTGTTTGTATGCATGTTTCCGAATGGGCAGGCCGCACTCCAGTGGCTTGCTACCTTGCCCCAAAGAGAGATGTTCCCCAGGTGGAGTAACAGCACCCCATCGGAGGGGTCACTGAAGAGAGCGACCAGGAACCGAGTCGGAAGCATTAGCAGCCCCACTGAGGGCGGTGTGGGGCGAGGGCGGTATTAGCTCTGCCCCCTGAGATGCTAGCCTTCCATCACTACTTATATCAGACGGTCCCCTCCAGCACAACACACTGCTGCATCCAACACCCACAAGCAGGAATCAGGAAGAGGTAGTTTGGAAAAGGCCAGACTGAAGGGGCACAGAGTAGCTGTAAGGTGGGTGCCTGGGGACTGTTAGTGGCGTACCTTGTCCTTGAGGAGTTGTGTTAGGTGTATGGTGTATTCTGCTTTACAACAATGTTGTGTGTATATGAATTATTCTCACATTACAGATGGTGAACCTGAGGTGCAGTGGCTCAGCCAAGGTCACAGAGTTTGTGGCAGAACGGGAATAAATTGGAATTCAGGAGCTGGGTGTCGCTTGTTACCCTGGCATAAGCTCAGACCTCTGACTATTCTGGGTGGGATCACTTATGGGTATGAGGCACAAATCAGAGGTACTCTGCAAGCCTTGCTTCAACCTTGACTATGGGAGGACCATCGTTTTTCCACACCATGGATGCCCTTCGTGGGACCATAGAGGAACTGGCCCAAAACAATCTGAGAGCAGACAGCTAGTGCCGCCCTAGAGCACGAGGAAATGTGTTACCTTTCTTATAAATGCCATCCACTCCCTTGCCCATCTTGTCCTTGCTGCTCACATCGCCTTCCATGTAGGGAAACACCCGAGCCTGGTGCGTCCAGAGGTAATCGTTGGACCCAAAAAACAGCACAGGAAACTCGCCAATGTCATGTTTCATCTTTTGGATATTTACAGGAATAGTTCTAGGATGGCAAATCTCAGCTGGCCACCACCTGTCGCAGGGGATAGGGACAGGAAAAGCAGGTCAAAGCTTTGACACCACTGCCCCTAAAAGCTGCCAACAGCGATTTCCCATTCTCTAGGGGCACTGAGAAGGAGAAAAGGAACTTTCCTGGGGCTTCCAGTACTTCACACAAAGCAGCAGTGTTGGGCAGAAGCTTGGCTTGGGGAAGAGGAAAAGAACGGGGAGGAATGGTGCGTTCTACTATCAGGTGCCTACATGGATTTAAAAACAGACCCAGCTGCATAAACATGAGTAGAAACCAGCACTCTCCAGATCTCCCCAGCATAGTCAGTGCTGCACAAGGAAGGGCTTTAACATGGACATCAGCTACATTTATTTTTACCCACCTGTAGCGCCCAACTTTTACCCAGACCACCTCCTTGTAATGTGGTTTCTTGCCAGCTTTGCAGTCGTTACAGTACCAGCTTCCCTCAGGCATCTCGATGTTCAGACACTCGCGGTGAAAAGCAGCTGGGCATGACTCACAGCACAAAAGGCTGCCCCCTGCATCCAGGAACGATACAGCAGTGAGAGCCACATCACAAAAACACTGGCCCCTATGCTCCCAGACAGAATCAAACCGCCGGGAAGAGGGACCAAGCTCTTACACAAAGCTCGTTCCATCTGCCCAGCCACCCGATCTCTCTTCAGCTCTACCATGCAGAGGGCCAGGCCAATGCTTAGGCACCACTGAAGTCCCTCAAAACAGGATTACAGTAGCCTACAGGCTTTGTGCTCTATACCCGTCACCTCGCTCAGGCCTGGAGCAATGGCCACACGCAGCTGAGGCCGTCTCTCAGCTCCTGGGGTTCCTGCAGGGAGGTGTTTGCAGGAAGATGAGGTGCAACCACATCTGAAAACAGACTCAGGCTCTTCTGCGGAGCTGTTCCAGGGGCAAAGTCCTTCCATCAAGAATATTCTCTCATTTCCTGCCCTGAGCAACTTCCCCCAGCCTGGATACAGAGACCTGGGAGCACAGCTGTCCAGTGAGTGGAACGGCGGTCTCTAACACAAACAAACCCTAATCCAATGAGGCCTGGTGGCAACAAGACAAGTACCCTGACCTGGCATTGGACGAGAATGGGGGCCTCAAACTGGCCTGTCCTCAGTAGTTTTATCCTGCTAAGTAGCTGGTTCCTGCATTCTGTCTCTACCCTTGGCACCCCAGTGCAGGCCCCGCCCCCAGCGCAGGCCCCACCCCGCAGTGCTCACAGTGCACTAGGCAGAGAACAGAAGGTCTCACCTTCTGAGCAGACAAAGCACCAGCTGACATTGACGTGCTCATGGTTTCGGCAGCCCCTCCGTGGAGAGAAGTGATTGGGGCAGATGATGCTGTTGGAGGCGAGGATCACTGTCCCCGCAGCCAGACAGAAATCGTTGGCGTGGTATGCCACTGGACACCGAACACAACGCATCAAGCGACCTTGCGGTGGAAAAGGTTGGACACAGGTAAACACTTGAGGGAAAGTGACAATTATAATTTGCTCCTAGAACTTAGTTTTGTCAATATTCAGGCTTACAACAAACAAAGGGTGAAATGAGTCACTTGGCGAAGGGACACCTTGCCTCTACTTACACCAGCTTCTCAATAACCCCTTCCCTGTGTTTAAACTAAGAACGGCCTGCCCCAAATGGTGGGTGCTGCGCCCCGTGCAGAGGGGCTGGAGAGCAAGTCCGTACTGCACACAGCCTGTAGCACAGGCTCGCGGCATTGAACATGGCACCGGCTCACAGCTGGCTCCCCCCGGCTGTCAGGTGGGCATCAGCTCACAGTTGTGAGCCCCCCCCACCCGCCTTCACGCTGGCAGCCCGAGCCCAGATGGGCTGAGTTTCACAGCAGGGAGCCTCCCAGCAGCGAAACGGACATTCTCGCAGAGACGGCGTTATGATATCGGTGTAGTGGGCCACTTGCTGCAGCAGAAGCAGCACTGTGGTGCAGACACGGACATAATTACGTTGACGTAAGCTGCCTCACGTCGACCTAACTCTGTAGGGTAGACCAAGCCTCAGTTTTGGCCCAGCTTGGCCAGAGAAGCAGCTGAGACAAACCCGAATGGCACTGCCATCCTGGGCGCCAGGTTGCCACATCCAGAGCAGGGAGCTGGCCCCAGCCTGAGCATCCACACTGCACTATAAACCTGTGGCTACAATTGCTGGACCCAGGTCTCTCAGCCATGCTAGTGTGTCCGTACTGAACTACACAGACCTTCTGACTCAGGGCTGTGTCCACACTGCAAATTGACAACGAGTGCACCTGAGTTTCAGAGGAACTTGAGCTCTGACCCACTCCCTAGCAGGGTCCTAGGACCCAGGTCCTGAGTCAGACTGACGGATGTGTATGTGTGGATGGAGCAGGGTCTTCGATTCCAACCTGAGTCAGAGCCCAGGCTCAGTGTGCAGGGTAGACATACCCCTAGAGAGCAGCAAGTTCACCGTCTGGCACCTTCCCCTGCTGACCAGATTTACACAGCTCACAGAAAACGTCCCACGATGAAAGATTAAAGAACAGGCACTGGGCGGGAGACACCGAGCACCTCCAACTGCTCCCGAATTAAAGATGCTTTGGACGCAGGAAAGGGGCACCTGCCTTTTTCTCCTGACTAGCCCCAGTAACTGCAGGCACAGAAGGGTTTCTTTACCTTTAGACGCAGAAAGGTTCGCTGGGTTAGCGGCATGACAAGTCATACAGATGTGCAGTGAGCATCGAAAGCCCTTGTTCTGCATGACTGTGGGTGGGTACTTCTGCACACACTCTTCGTGGTAGTACTTCCCACACAAGGGGAGCAAGCACCGCCTCACGTCCTCCCCGCTGCTCTTGCACACAAAGCAGGTGTGGACGCCTGGAGGAGAGAACACCGGTCACATGGCGAAAGGGAAGGAGAACTCTCAAAGAAAAAGTTACCACCTCCGGCCAGACTGGCTGGCTCCTTAGGAGCCCCCCGGCCTGGACTGCACAGCTACCCAACCCTCTCCATGCTCTCTGGCCCTGGCCATTTGTCTCATGCCTTCCGCCAATGGCACACTTGAAAGCAGCCCCACGCGAGCCCCCAGCAAGCGGCCTGCCCTCCCACCTGGCGCCGTACCTGTTGAACACTCATTGCAGATGAACTTGCCCTTCGGCATTTCTGAGAGCCCGAGGCACCGCAGGTGGAAAGCACCACAGCACTGCGCTTCACACAGCAACAACTCCCCCGGCTTCTCACAGATCTGTGTGGGGAGGGAACACAGCGTTACTTCTGGGACAAACCCCTGGCTAGATACACACAAGGCATGCAGCTGGCTGAGACTACCACGAGAAAACCCTGCAGAAATCCCTTCACGCCAGCTCAGAGTGCCACCGCTACACTTCTTCCTGAGTCCCCACTGTGAGGCAATGGCTTAAATACATCCCACTTCATTCCCAGCCACCTCGCTCCCACCCCACCGCTGCAGGGACAATGCCCCAGAGCCCGCTGCAGGAGGGACGGGCACTGCAGAGCAGTCATGCCGCATCTACACACAAGGGAGGTGCAAAGTGTCCAGGCAGTGCAAGGCACATGAATAACTGGACAGCCAAGGCTCCGGACAAAAGGGGCCATCACCAAGGATCCGGAGAACATTGGTTAACTCAATCAGATCTGCTTCAAGGTTGCCTTGTTAGACAGGGTATTAGTGTGCTGCACAGCTGCCCAACACCACCGATAGTGCTGCAAAGGTTCACCCAAAGATCTTAGCTCCCTACCTGACAAACGTTCTCCTTGAGGGCTGCTCCTCCTCCTCGCTCCCCCTGCATCCTTTTGGATGAAGGCACTCCATGGTCATTCTCAGACCCATCCTCATTGAGCTCCTTGGGGCTTGCAGCACTCCCATGGATAGGTATCTCCCCCTTTAGAAAAGAAATCCAGAATTCGGACGGTCAGTATTTCCTGGCCCACCCTCTGGACTGTTAGTTTGGCTATCAAGCACATACAGGTTTTCAGCTGGGCTGCAAGCAGTGCCTCTAACTCTCATCCTGCCCGCAGAGGGCCCTTAATGCCCTGGGGAAAATGCCCTCCGCACTGTTCCGCTCTGAGGTTTCATGAGGGAGGAAGCTTTGGTTTGTGCTTTAACCACAGGTATTCAATTTGGCTAGCTTGCTGCCCACGACCCATCTTCATGGGGCTCTCTCTCTGGATTAATTCTGCCCCAACCTGACCCAATAGAAACACTCAGTTTGGTGCCAGAACAGGCCTGGAGCTGCCGATCTGGCCCAGAAAGCTTCCTCAAGGCACTGCATACACATTCCACTGGATGAGATGCAAATGAGCAGAGCATGGTCAAAGCAACCATTATTTCATTGTGCATGTCAGAGCGCCAGGAACACACGGACAGTATTTGAACTAGGGAGGTTGGCTGTAGCGATGCTAGAGAACCAGCTTGCTAGTAACTGATCCAGTGGCACTGCGCCAGTGCAGCGAGTCCACCCGAGCTGTCTCGTTTAGGGTGCAGTTCTATTCTGCAGCCACGTGCAAGGCTGGATTCTACGGCCAGAAGGGACCCTTCTGATCATTTAGCTTGATCTCCTGCACCGCACAGGCCACAACTGCCAGTGGCACTAAAGCATCTTTCAGAAAAAATCCAATCTTGCTGTAAAGACTTCAAGTGATGAGAATCCAGCACATCCCTCGGTGAGCTAAGTCAACAGCTCCTTGCAAGGTCCGAGACGAGCAGCAGCAGCTGCAGAACTTCCAAACCAGGTGGGGGAGGTGAGATCTTTTATTGGCCCCACCTGTGTTGGGGAGAGAGACCAGCTTTCGCGCTCACACAGAGCTACTCTTCAGGCCTGGGAAGGAGAGCCTGTCTGCATCTCTGTGGGGAGCTGGCCCCCACACTGCAGCAGCAGACCACAAGGAAAGGAGAGTTCCAATTCTCTTATGGAAGCCAGGTCCCCGGGGCACTGCCTGGGGTTGGGAATGTCCCGTGGGTGCCATGGGGATGAAGGTGTGCATGGCAATACACCAAGTGTGGCAGGGGCATGGGAGCAAGATGGCAAATGTGCCTGAGATCCTTGAGGGATCTGAGCAATTGGACTCACTGAACTTTGTTGCAGGGCCGTAGCAACAAAGAACGTGGCCCCCTCCGAACGGTGGCCCCCTCCGAACATATGTCCGGGCGGGGCCCCTTACAATGCAGAAACTGGAATGCGGTATTTATTTTGCCACTTTTAGGGGCCCCCTTCCTTGCGGGGCCCCCTCCGGTCGGAGGGTACGGAGGGCACTCGCTATGCCTCTGCTTTGTTGGAGTGTAGGTGCATTGCATGTGCCTATCCTGTGCCCATTCCCATCTAGCCCAGAAAGGCTGTCACTCCAAGGTGGGCAAGCCCTAGAGGAGCCCTGTGCCTGGTTCTGACAGGCAATAAGATGGCCTGGCACATGCATCACGCAAGGATTTTTGAGAACTCTGCTCTTTTCAGAAGCAGACAGACTCGCACTCTTCCCACAGCATAGACAGGGAGGTGTCACAGAATCACTGCATACCCGCTGCTCCCCTGGCTCACCAAGCCATACCCTGAGTACATCTGCACACTCAGAAGGCACAGAGTGGTGGTCCAGTGTGCATTTGGAAAGCTCAAAGCAAGAGGAAGGTGCTGGTGACATGCCAGGACAGTCAGGAACACGAGTCCCCTCACAGCTGTCTGCTGTATTCTGCAAAGGCTGAAGTATTCTTGCAGCAATCATTCGCAGCCAGACTGAAAAGCAATGCCACCCAAAGCAATGACTTGCACCTGGTGTGCAAACAAAACTGAGACGCTGGGGCCACATCTTTTGTCTGGGCAGAGAAAGCAGCGGGGATGGATTATGTTGAGGTGTGCAAATGTCAGCGTTCCCTGCTGTTAAACACCATCGCTAGGGCTGCAGGTTTGTCATGGTGGTAACAATGTCACAGATACTGTGATTTTTCTGTTTGACGAGGGCTTTTCCTTGTGTCTCTGACTTTACTGAAGCTGGTTTCCCAAATGCTGGGTCGCTGACCTGGTGTGGAGCGGAGGGTGAGCCCCGGGGAGCGAGCAGTAGCTCCTGTCCCATGAGGCTGAACCTGGCTCCCTGCTATGGGAACTGCAACCTGGGGCATGGGTTGGCAGCGCTGCTCAAGTTTGGTCTGGCCGCCCTCTATGATGACCGAGGCAGCTGGGCCAGATCTGAGTAAGTGGCACTGCAAACTGACATTCAGGGCTGCAGTGCCACTCACTCAAATTTGGCCTGGCTGCTGCTCTGTTATCATGACCGAGGAATGGCTGGGCCAAACCTGAGAGGGACGGCAACCCCTGCACCAGTGCAATGGCTGGAAGGGGAAGCCAAGCCCAGCCCCAGGGAACAGGAGCTGTTGCTGGAGGGTGAATGCAGGGTGGATTCAATTTCCAGTCCCCCTCCCTGGGGCCCTCTCCTCCGCACCAGGCCAGGATTAGGGTTGTGGTGCAGGGGCAGAGGGTGCTGTTGTGGGTGGTCAGTGTCCCCTCAGGAGCAGAGGGGGGGGAGGGGAGGCAGCGGCAGAGGGGAAGGATGCTGGCCTGTTGGGGACTCCCCCAGGAATCTGGACCCTGGGTGGGGCACAATAAAAGACAATATGAAGTTGGTGGGTCACCATGCTAAAAAGTTTGGGAACCACTGTCATAAAGTGGATTGAACTTGAAAACTTGAAAAAATGTGTATTTTATATAAAGAGCTACAGAGAGTTGACTTTTCCAGCCTGTGATGTCACACACCATTTCCCCAGACCCCTTTGATTCTTACTACATTTCCCAGGGCTGCTCTGTGATTTTTGATTTAAAAAACACCACGAGAGATCTGCAGCCCTAATCACTGCCTCCTTTGCTAGTGCGTTTCTCCTTGTGTAGATGCCACCGTCACTGCAGACATTTTTAACCTGACAGGAGTTTGTAGGGAGGAGTTCTGGAGCGAAGTAGGGATGCACGGACAGCACACTGAAGTACAGGACAGAGATAAATGGAGCAAACCATGTTTATTAAGCACACAAAAGTGGAAGCTCAGCAGCAACAACAAACTAGATCAAAACCACAATACTACACACCAGGCACTTCTGCGGACGATAGTGTCCCAGGGAGCCTGAGTCGCTCTGTCCAACTCGTTGGCAGGGATAGAATGCCATGGGAATGCACAGGAAGGAACAGACCAGTATGGCACAGACCCAAATTAGTTGCCACCATCCTGTACTGCAGCACTATACGAGGCGGTGGTCTGTACAGGGCAGATGCAGGGGCCTGTTAATGGGATAATGGCACTAACTGGCTGTGTCTTTGAATGTGCTTTCTCAGGCATTCATTCCCTCTGGAATGCTTGCTCCTGCCTCCTCCTTTCTCTGCCATGAGGGACGTATTACGTCAGAGTCCTCTTTTCCCCACTTGGCTTCTTCTGCCTGGAAGCTGCACATCCGAGCAGAGTCCCCTTTGCACATCCCCCTGCAGCTCCAGGGACAGATCCTTTTGTTCTCCATTTCCCCCAAGGACTGGTGAGGCGTTTAGCCCCCTGATGTTCTCAGACGCCCGATCCCTCTCCTGCTCAGCGACGCAGCAGTGGTCCCTGTAACGAAGAAGAAGAAGAGGGTTAATAGGTTTACTGACGCTGGAAACCCTTGGAATACCAAGGAATGCAATAGTTCTGGTTCCTGCTCACTTTGGGATTCCAGTGCCACTCACAGGACCTATCTGAGCAAGCGAGGGCAAGGGCTTGGGTTATTCTCCTGGATAACACATGAGAACATGCTCAAGGAGCTGGAGAGGCACCAGGCATTTCCCTGAGGGATCTGGAAATTAGTATTACTCCTGATCTGATTAGTCATCTAGCTGGGCAAAGATTACCAGAGACTGCTCTGAAATCTGGGGGGAAATTCTCTCTGCTGGACTGCTGCCCCATGTTTGCAGAGGAGCACTGCGGGCTTTAGATAGGGCCATCATTCCAAACCTGTTGCTCATGGCTGACCTCGAGCAGTTTGCTATCAGTAATGCTTATGCCTGCATTTCATGCTTTCAGTGGAAAGCAGAATGAAATAGGTGTGCAGCTAGACAAGAGCAGATAAATAGTGCACTGCTTTGGTGTGGGGCCAACAGAGACAATGTAGCCTGTGTGTGGGGCCATGCTGCCCCAGGTGTGGTTTACTGCAGTAGAATACTCCTGCCAGGACATCTTGTGTATTTCAGGGTTTGACCGAAAAACCCATCCTGCTTGGCTGCCCTTTTGAGTCCAGGCACATGCATGGCTAAGCCAGTCACTGTACACTGAGGGCCTGGGACTTCTGCTCTGGCTTGGAACAATGCTCCAAGCAGCCAAATGTAGAAGGGGTGGCTGAACCTGCTGGAGCGGACCCAGCTGGGCAGGGGGTGGAGTAGGAAGTCGCCATGTGCACAGTGGGAGGGAGACTTCTGCTCTCATGAGTTTGCAACTGAACATTTCTCATAAGAACCAGACACATTGCCGCCGCCCTCCCCCCGCCCCGAGTCTGCCAAACCAGCCCTGGTCAGTGAAAATAAAGAACAGCCACGTACCTCGTACAAAGGGCAGGCCTCTCTTCCTGAACCTTCTGCCGCTGTCTCTGCAGCCTACGATTCACTGAAGAGTCCTGGGGAGCCTGAGCCATATCCCGGACTTGCCCACCCCAGCGCTGTCACCCCGCCCTGCCTGGCGCTGTCCAACAGTGCGTCAGGTTTCACAGGCAGGCGAGAGCAGAAAATACAGTCTTGCACGAAAGGAGCAGGTTTCCTCTGCCCCAGAGCAGCTGTTATTCTTCCACACTTTGCTGTACTGGACCTTCAGGTGCGTCCGTCTCCCCACACTGTCCACCCGAGTGAGGGCTACCCTGCTGGCAAGCCATCTGGACACCCACTCACAGTCCAGGGCACTCTGAATGACAGAGTTCAGCTGTGACGGGATCTCCTTGTCACCCTAGATACTCGCAAGTGTCCAGACATCTCTCGGAGGCCAGATGGCAGCAGGCTCACACCATGGCTGCTAGGAGACCTGCTCTGGAACTGGCGCGCTAGAACACACAGCAATCACAAGCAAGTGGAAGCTGGCAGGAAACAGCGCACAATGAGCTGTACAGGGCCTCGGAAAACTTGTTCCCAGGCCAGCAGAAACTACCGCAGAAAGGCCACCGCTGCCATGACTGGGGCCCGGCGAGGAAGAGGTGGGAAGGCTACCTGCACACCTGTGCTTGCCAGCTCCACTAGCACTGCACAGGGGGGACCGCCATGGCAGGGGACAGCAAAGCGGTTAGCCTTGCTCGGGTGAAAAGCTATGAACCACTGGGAGCCATTACAGCAACAGAGTGATAAGAAATGCCGACCACTGGCTCCTGACATACATCCTGAGAGCACTGGGTGCTGTTCACGTTGTGCCATTTGAAATGGGAGTACCAGAGGTGTCCCTCCTCTCCCAGGTCATGTCTTGGTGAGACCTGGCTCACTCCTAAAAGGCGAAATGTGGCTGTCAGAGATACTGTTATGAGCGGTCTCTGGCAGGGCGCTTTCAAAGAGGGAGTGACCCACTGGGGGCAGGGGAAACACCCCAACTCTGACCTCTGGATTGGGGGCAGAATTTTAACAAGGGGTTGCCAGAAAGCAACCAAGAGCCCTGACCTCGCAAATGGCTCTCAGGACCCTCTTCCACAGCTCTGCAGCTAATGCTGGAGTGCAGAACGCAGATGAAAGGCGAATGCAGCGTAGGATACGTTCGTACTGCTGATCAATACGCAAGAAGGCAGCATTCCCAGATGCAGCAGCCAAGGCCTTTCATTTGAACGAAAAACCTTCCGAACTGGCAATGCAAAACTACCGATCAAATTCTGCTCGGTCACTGCTTAGAACCGTCGCTCACGGTGAAATCAGCTGAGCAACAGCCCCAAAATTAAGCCCAAGCTTCAGGGGTCTTTAAAAAACAACTGCTAATTCGAAGTGACACATTCCGTTTACACTCAGAGCAACGCTCCTCTCCCCCATCTAGCCAAGCAAATGCTGCCGAGTTGGTTTTTCAGACGACACTTTGAGGAAGGAGAGAGGAGGTTAAAGGGTTCCTTGATTAAGTTTGCAACACCTAGGAGGACTAGCAGTACCTCAGAACTGGGAGCTTCCCCCAGTGCATCTTCACTCCGCCCTTTCTTGTAATGCGCTGTGGCTGGGGAGTATCGCTGTCTCTTGCGCTTTCTCTGCTTCTCAGGGAGTCTGTCAGGAGCTGATGGGAGAGACACGTGTCAAGACAATGGAGAAATAACGGTTCTCCTGGCCATGAGCAGTGCAGTGAATCCTGCAGTTCAGGCTAGGAAGCTCCGAACTCGTCCCACTGCACGAACAGATAATGAGGCCAGGCCCAGTACAAGCCTGCAGGCAATGCCTTGGAATGCAATTCCCAAATGGCTGTACTGGTGACACCACCTGTTCCTGCAGCCCCTCACAGGGGCATGGACCTGGGAAATGGGGATTCAGATTGAGTTTTCCTGCTGCCATGCCAAAACCAAACAAAGCCATTCCTGCTCTCCGAGACCCCAGCGGGGAAGCACTGCGAGAGGTTTAGAGATTTTAAAGTTATTAATCCAAATGCTGATCAATTGTCCCTCTTCCCTAAGTGTTGCAACTCAAACTTCCTTGACTTTGGCTCAAGGGAGGGAAAAAGTGCACTACAACTGCACAATTCTCTGCTGGCAGACCGGCCCCCACTGAGCCTGGTGCAGGGCTCCCTGTGGCACAAGGCCCCCACAACAGCCGCAAGAGACGCACTCAGTAACACCCTCACTTTGGGCCAATGGCTAGGGGTGTGAATCCCACACTGGGCCTTGGCCTGGAGGGGCACTGAGCAGTAGAGACGCTGCCTTCCATGGAAGGTGTTTGTGTCCAGTGTCTCCACCGCCCACAGGAAAGGGAAGATGCACTGCCATCTTTTGATAAATGAAAGCAATCAAATTGAGAGTCCAGGGCATTACTCCTTCGGTCGCTGCCCAGGCAGCGCGAGAGCGATTACTGAGCACACAATATCCACCGTCCGTATTCAGTCACAGCAATGTGTAACGTGCTGGCTTGGCACCTGCATGGTGACAGGTGCTAGAGAAAAAGCCAATCTGGTTCCACAGGCCACCGTCTTTAGGGGGTCATGGAAATTCCCACTGCCTCCTCCCTTCCAGAATATAGGGCTTTCAAAACTGGCTTTCAGGAGAGACAGAAATCCCTAAATTTCGGTACCCAAAAAAAGATCATCATCAGTAACAACTTGGCAGGACCTCAGGAAAAAAACTGCACTGAGAAACCTCTATCTGAACAAACTGAAAGCATCCATCTAACCCCAGCCCCACCCAGGCCAGTGCTCTGGACACAGAGTGCCACTCACAGCTGTACCGTGCTCTCTTCACCAATTTCACACTTTACAGAGCTTACGGGGAGGTGGGGGGGGGGGCACAACTTCGAACAAATCATTCAGTTCTCCTGAGAGGTAAATGCCCTCTGTAGGCCCTGACTGGGCGCTACACACACACGCTCTGCTGCCACAGGCACTAACGAACGTGGTTTGCCAAGAGCCCTGGCACACCCCACCCCAGGAATGGCACCAGGAACTCCTTGCTTCATTGCAGATGCCTCGTGTTTCCTACCTTCTCCGAGATCCAAAAACTGGGGTGTGGCATAAAATTCAGAAAGGTCACTCTCCAGAGGGCCAGCATCAAAACACTGGGAATAAACAAGATTGAAACAATTTACCAGTGGCATTCAGATACGAGCAAGGAGATGTGTTTTCCTGAGCAACTCAAGCTGAACATTTTTATGAACTGCTGTTACAAGTAATATCTCAGGCCTGGTCCACACTACCCCCCCACTTCGGACTAAGGTACGCAAATTCAGCTACGTTAATAACGTAGCTGAATTCGAAGTACCTTAGTCCGAACTTACCGCGGGTCCAGACGCGGCAGGCAGGCTCCCCCGTTGATGCCGCGTACTCCTCTCGCCGAGCTGGAGTATCGGCGTCGACGGCGAGCACTTCCGGGATCGATCCCAGAACGTCGACTGCCTGCCGTCGGACCCGGAGGTAAGTGTAGATGTACCCTCAGATTCCAACGAATCGAAGGAGATCAGAGAAAACAGGACCCTGTCAACTTTCAATTCGTTTGCTGTGTGTCGGACGAATCTTTGCATATAGCAAGTCAACGCTGGCTGGGCAGCGGGAGTGCTCTGGCTGCTGCTGATCATGCTGACCAGTGTCATCTCACTGGCTCCTTGTGCTCCCCGTCTGTTTGTTGAATCCACCTGTTGTCTCTCATCGTACACATAGCCAGCGAGCTCACTGGGACAGAGCCTGTCTCTTTGCCATACATTCGTACAGGGCTTAGGACAACGGGGCACTGATCTCATGGTGCTGCCGCACCACTAACATTAACAATCCCATTGTCTGGGGGACTTCACGCGGCAACAAGGGAGAGAGAAACATCTTTCGAAACAGGAAAATGCAATTATAAACCCACAAAAATTGGCAAGGGCTCTTGGGTAGGCACAAAACCTAAAATGCATGCACAATTCTGGTCTCCCGTGTGTAAGAAAGATGAATTCAAACTGGAACAGGTGCAGAGAGGGGCTACTAGAATGATCCTTATGAGAGGAGACTCACAGAGCTTGGCTTGTTTAGCCTAACCAAATGAAGGCCTAGGGGAGATCTGGTGCCTCTCTATACATATATCCGAGGGATAAACACGAGGGAGGGAGAGGAGTTATTTAAGTTAAGGGCCACTGCTGGCACAAGAACAAATGGATATAAACTGGCCATCAACAAGTTTAGGCTTGAAATTAGATAAAGGTTTTTAACCATCGGAGGAGAGAAGTTCTGGAACAGCCTTTCCAGGGGAGCAGTGGGGACAAAAAAAAACTAACAGGCTTCCAGACTGAGCTTGCTATAGAAGGGGTGCTATGTTGGGGTTGCCTGTAGGGCCACATGGCTCATCCATGACTACTATTAGTGAACATCTCCAAAGGCCGGAGTTGGGGCACTAGAAGAGGAAGGCTCTGAGTTACTACACACAATTCCTTCCCGAGTGTCAGGCTGGTGGTTCTAGCCCACTGATCACCATATTTCGGGTTGAGAAGGAATTTTGCACCAGGTCAGATTGGCAGAGACCATGTGAGGTTTTTCGCCTTCCTCTGCAGCATGGGGCATGGGTCACTCGCCGGTTTCGGTGGATTCTCTGTCACTTGAAGTCTTTAAATCATGATTTGAGGACGTCAGTAACTCAGCCACAGTTTAGGGGTTTATTACAGGAGTGGGTGGGGAGGTTCGGTGGTCTGCGATGGGCAGGAGGTCAGACTAGATGATCATGATGGTCCCTTCTGCCCTTAAAGTCGGAGTCTTTTTATCTCATTTTTTGAAATCATGTTGCCTGGTGAACATTAGAGACCAATGGGTGATTCTCCTTTAAACATCAGAATCCAATGCCATAGAGAGCAATTTGAATATTTCATACCATCGGAACCCCATCAATTTAAAGTACAGGTTTGAGGAGACCCAGCTAAGACACAGTCTGATGTTCACCAACTCGCAGAGGAGGGTAATGAAAGAAATGTCATCCCCACTTCAGAGAAAGTTTGGTATATGAAAATTTTGGGGCAAGGACCTCAGGATCAAGATCAAGCAGCAACAGAATAGAATGCATGGAGACTCCCTGCTCTCCAACCGGAAGTCTACTATAGAGCACTTCCACCTGGGTGTCCTGCTGAGATCCTGGAGTTTCCTTTGCCAATGCAAATTAAAGGAGAGGGATGTTTCACAGCAGAAACTATCCAGTCCTCATAAGAAGCAAAGTTGTTTCCCTCCTTATCTAACTTCAATTGTTTTATTCACCGTACTACACAGACCAAAATCTGGCGACTCAGCACAGGGCTCATATGGCTAAACTTGGCCTGGTGCTGGCAGGTTTTTGTTAGTACTGTCGGGAAGCAATGCTAGTTGGGATGAATTTATAAGGAGATTTTGTATAACATGTTCTGAATCGATTTGCACTGAGCATTTCCCAAAAATCATGAGCTGTCACTGTAGCCGAGGACATACTGCTACCCCAAGAGCCTGAGATCCACATTATTACATCATAGTTCATATCTGCAGCCAGCTAGAGACACAATCTGGTGTCTGGTATTTAATTGCCAGCTAGCATTCAGGGTCCGCTGGAAGGAATGTACCTTCTTTGGAGGAGTCCACCCCTCCTTCTTTGGCATAAACACAGCATCCAAATCATTGGATTCCAAGAGCTTCTTAGTTGGCTTCCTCTGACGCTTCCTCTCCAAGTTCCCTGCAATAAAGTTCTAGTTAGGGAAAATACAATTTCTTTAACTGGATTCAGACTAACAAAATCCATTATCAGATACTAACTGACATTTAAAACCTCATCTGCCTGCTACCCCTTGTGTCTCAGACTGTAGGCTCTCTGAGGCCGTGACTATTAGGTATTTTACATGTGTGGAGCACCCAGCGTTACACACCTCAATCTGGCTGTGCTCTTTAGGTTTTACCACAATATTGATGTTTAAACAACATCATCGAACTCACAGAAAAATTGGAGCTGTCAGGTCAGACAGCACACGCCAGCAACGCAACTTAGAGAAAACCAGGCAATCAACAGCTACATCATTCAACAGTCCACTGACCACCCCTCACCAGTCCCCTTCTCCACCTCGGCGAGTTCCCTTCCACCACCCACATATCTCCACCTCCATCCGGAACACCAGCTGTCTGTACCGTTATGTGTTCACATATTACCATCAGGTTGGTATGGCTTCAAAAATTACATTTTATGTACTTCTATATTTGATTCTGTATTGGTGCATTTAGGTGAGTGAGGGTCCAGTTGCTGGTATAAGCGTTTGGGGCAGTTTCTTCAGACCATAGCTACAGTGCTTCTGGTCTTGCAATCACGGGGACAGATCAAGTCTAACTCAAGCACCTGCTTCGTACAGATGCAGCAACTACACTATGATCCTGTTTATCCAAAATGTTTTGGGGACCTCAAAAAACTTTCAGACTAACAGGAATATAACTGTTGCAAGCAGCATCCATGCAGAGATAAACATGATCAGAAAAAACGGTTACCGTCTCATAGCTGTTGTTCTTCGAGAGGTGTTGTTCATGTCCATTCCAATCAGGTGTGTGCGCACTGCGTGCACGCCAGCCGGAAGATTTTTTCCCCTAGCAACATCCCTCGGGTCGGCCTGGGCACCCCCTGGAGTCGCACCTTCATGGTGTCCAATATAGAGCTCTGCCAACCCACCGCCCCCTCAGTTCCTTCTTGCCGGCTGCTCCGACAGAGGGGTAGGAGGGCGGGTATTGGAATGGACATGAACAACACATCTCGAAGAACAGTTACAAGAAGGTGAGTAACCGTTTTTTCTTCTTCGAGTGCTTGTTCATGTCAATTCCAATCAAGTGACTCACAAGCCTAAGTTCAGGAGGTGGGGTCGGAGTCTTCAACTGACTGGAGCACGGCTCATCTCTGGCCTGCTGGGTGATCGCATAGTGCGTGGCGAAAGAGTGTATGGAGGACCACGTCACTGCTCTGCAGATTTCCTGGGTGGGAACCTGTGCCAGGAATGCCACTAAGGAGGCCTGAGCCCTGGTGGAGTGCACGGTGATTGAAGGAGCAGGCACCTTTGCCAAGTTGTAGCACTCCCAAATGCAGGACGTGATCCATGTCGAGATACGCTGAGAGGAGACAGGAAGACTTTTCATTCTGTCCGCCACTGCCACGAATAACTGGACGGACCTTCAGAACGGCTTCGTTCTCTCGATGTAGGAGGCTAGTGCTCTGTGGACCTACGAGTGAAGCCTCTGCTCCCTGGCGCTGGAGTGCGGCTTAGGGTCGAATACAAGGAGGAAGATGTCCTGGTTGAGGTGAAACTGGGAGACAACCTTTGGGAGAAAAGCTGGGTGAGAACTGAGCTGAACCTTGTCCTTATGGAACATAGTGTAAGGGGGCTCTGATGTTAGGGCCTAGCTCAGACACCTCCTGGCTAAGGTTATCGCTACCAGAAACGCCACCTTGTATGAGAGAGAGAGCAGGAAGCACGCCACCAAGGGCTCGAATGGCGATCCCGTAAGCCTGGAAAGGACCAGATTGAGGTTCCAAGCCGGGATAGGCTGTCGGACCTGTGGGTATAGCCTGTCGAGACCTTTTCGGAAACAGCTGACCAATGGGTTGGCAAAGACCGAGCAGCCCTCTGCACCTGGGTGGAAGGTGGAGATGGAGGCCAAGTGAACCCTTACTGATGACATTGACAGCCCTTGCTGCTTGAGAGGGAGAAGATAGTCCAGTGTAAGTGGCACTGAGGTGAGCGTCGGGGACGGGAGGTGCTGCTCCGACCAGATTGAAAATCTCTTCCACACTTGGCAAGGTAGGTGGCTCTCGTGGAGGGTTTCCTGCTGCCAAGGAGAACTTGTCTGACTTGATCAGGGCAGGAGAGCTCCCCTGCGTTCAGCCATGGAGCTTCCACGCGGTGAGGTGGAGCGACTTGAGGTTCGGATGTTGGAGGCGGCCGTGATCCTGCATTATTAGGTCCGGGAAGAGTGGCAGGGTGACCGGGGTTTCCACGGACATGTCCAGGAGTGATGTGTACCAGTGCTGGCGGGGCCACGCTGGAGCTATCAATATCACCAGAGCTCGGTCCCTGCGAATCTTGAGGAGCACCTTGTGAACAAGAGGGACGGGCGGGAACATGTATAGGAGACGGCCTCCCAATGGGAAGAGGAACACATCTGCGATGGAGCCTGGGCTGTGACTCAGGAAGGAGCAGAATCGCTGACACCTCCTGCTGCGTCGCGTGGCAAACAGATCTACTTGGGGAAAGCCCCACTGATGGAAGATTGAGTTAACGACATCCGGGCGAAGGGACCACTCGTGGCCGTGGAACAACCTGCTGAGGCTGTCCGCCAGCTCATTCTGTATTCCAGGGAGGTACAATGATTGCAGGTGTATTGAGCGCTCTACACAGAAGTCCCAAAGCATGAGGGCTTCCTGGCACAGGAGAGAGGAGTGTGCACCCCCGTTTGTTGATATAAAACATTGCCATGGTGTTGTCTGTTCTGACTGATATACATCTCCTTGCTAGGTGGACTCTGAAAGTCTGGCATGCCAGGCACGCCGCTCTCAGCTCCCTGACATTGATGTGTAGAGCGAGAGCCGCCTGAGGCCAGAGGCCTTGTGTCCTGAGCTCTCCCAGATGTGCCCCCAAGCCCAAAGTCTGACATGTCTGTCACTAGCAAGAGGGATGGCTGGGGGCTGGTGAAGGGGACCCCCCTGCACATACTACCTGCGGGTCGAGCCACCACAGGAGGGAGTCGAGTACCGGGCAAGGCAGGGTTACGATCCTGTCCAAACTGTCCTGGGCTGGCCGATACATTGACGCTAGCCATGACTGAAGAGGTCGAAGTCGAGTCTGGCATGCTGTACTACGTAGCTACACGCAGCCCTGTGTCCTAGAAGTTTCGGGCAATTATTTGCTGTGGTGATGGGGAACTGCCTGAGACCTCGAATGATGTCGCTGAGGACTCAAAATCTCACTTCGGGAAGGAACACCCTGGCCTGTGTTGAGTCCAGCACCGCCCCTACAAACCCTATCCTCTGAACCAGGGACAGCTTTGATTTTCTCTTGTTCAGTAGGGGGCCCAGTTCGTCGAATGTCATTCTTATGAAGGCGACTTGCCTCTCTACCTGAGCCCTGGAGTGGCCCTTGATCAGCCAGTCATTGAGGTACCCGTCGCCTGCGTGCACTTGGTGAATACTCGGGGTGCCGCTGACAGGCCAAACGGGAGGACTGTGAACTGGTAGTGGGTGTTGTTCACCACAAACCTGAGGTATTTTCTGTGGGACGGAGTTATCGCTATGTGAAAGTACGCGTCCTTCAAGTCAAGGGCGGCATACCAGTCTCCTTGATCCAGTGAGGAGATGATGGAGGCCAAAGAGACCATGTGGAATTTGAGTTTCTTCACAAACTTGTTGAGTTCTCGCAGATCTAGGACGGGCCTGAGCCCTCCTTTGGCTTTCGGTATTAGGAAGTACCGGGAATAGAAGCCCTCGTCCTTCTGCTCCTGAGGAACCTCTTCCACTGCCCCTAGCGAAAGGAGTGAGTGCATCTCCTGTGTAAGGAGTTGCTCATGAGAGGGCTCCCTGAAGAGGGACAGGGAAGGGGGGTGGAAGGGCAAGAGGGCGGAAGGGCAAGAGGGCACAGAATTGGATGGAGTATCCCCTCTCTACCGTGCGGAGCACCCAGCGGTCCGAGGACCATGCACGGTAGAAAGGGGATAGTCGGGACAAGAAGGTAAGGTGGGGTAGATCCAGTTCTCGATCTGGTAAGTCGTCCTCATGCGCGCCTTCAAAAGGCCTGTTTCTGGCCTGCAGAAGACTTGGTCTGGCCAGAGCTCTGGCCTGAGGATGGGTGTGGCCTCTTCCCGCCTCTCCTATTCCTCCTCCAGGAACTGTTCTGTCCGTTTTGCTGGTAAAACCGCGGACATTGCGGCCTGAAATGCCTGCATGGTGTCGCCAAGATCTAGACCTCCTGCTGCTGGACCTATCCGAACGATAGGACTCTGAAAAAGATGACCACAGAGGAGTGGTACTGGCTGGTGCCGAAGAGCGGTGCCAAACCTCTGGGAACTGATGCCGTTTTCTGCCCCGTGGGTGGTTGGCGCTGGGGAGTGGCGTGCTGGAGATGGGGAGCAGCATGACATCATCGCCGGCTTGCCCCTAGAGGGATAGGCAGCCTGGCTGACACTGGTGCCTCGTCCTTCCTTGGGGAAGGCGGAGCCGTCAGGCAAACAAGGTCCTGCGCTGCCTTAAAAAAGTCTCCGGAGTGGAGGGGAGTTGAATGTCCCATCCTTGACAATCCGGAGAATGATAATAGGCCGGACTCGACTGGACTCCTTGCGGGGCAGGAGTTGACGAGCCCCTGGGAGCTGCCGGGCCCAAAGTAGGCTGGATGGGCTGAAGCCTCCCTGCCGTTGGCTCCTTAGGCTTAGAAGGGGGAGAGCGCCCTCTCTCCTGCCTTTTTTTCTTCTGGGGCACCGGGGATACAGATCAGCACCTACCAGAAGTCTAATGTTCAGTGCTGTGTCGGTGCCGGGAGCCCTTAGTCTCCTTTCTAGGAGCCGACTCGCGCGCTGTCGGCACTGGTTACTGCACACGGAGGAGGGACACTGCTAAAGGCGCTTGCAGAAGCAGGAGCGAAGAAAGTTCCAGCTAGCCATCACTGGCGATAAGAAGGAACTGAGGGGGTGGCCGGTTGGCAGGGCCCTATATTGGGCACCATGAAGGCGCGACTCCAGGGAGCGCCCAGGCCGACCCTACGGATGCTGCTAGGGGGAAAATCTTCCGGCTGTAGTGCATGCGGCATGCACACACTTGATTGGAATGGACATGAAACAAGCACTCGATGAAGAAGAGGGAGTTCTGAATACCCAGGTTTGGATAAACACGTAGTATGCGGAGAGCACATCACGTTATGGACAATGCTAGGAAACGTGAAGTGAGCAACTGGTTCATTTGGCTACCAAGTTTATAATTTATGCTTGCTCGCTTACAGCCACATTACTGAGTTTAACAAAACAGAAATCAGAGAGCAGTTCCTCAGCTTTCCAACACAGCTCTGAGTCAGAATTCCTGCTGCTAGATGCAAAGCAGACTCACGCGTTTCAGAAGGGAGGCATGCTGCATATCGCTTACCTGATTTCAGGAAACGTTCCTCTGCCTCCAGAGAACAAGCAGAAACTTCAGACACATCAGGGGAAGATAACATCAGCTCCGGCAAGTCTGAATGTCCATCTATGAGTAGGTCAGTGGGCTCAGAGGAACGGGAAACTGGCTCTTCTAACAGCAAATGTTCTGCTTCAAGGACTGGAGGAGCATCTTTGGTTGAAGAGGAAGATGGAGTTGACACCAGAGGGTTCTGCTCCAGCTGCACATTCCGGAGATCACTTCCACGACTGCATCGTGCTGAAAGCCTTTCCTCTCCCTTGAACTCAGACCTCTCCCGGGAACTCACCTAGCAGCAGCAACAGATACAGATGGAAGTGGGTTTAACCTGCCCCTTGCTATGCACAGCGAGAACACAAACAACATACTGCGGGGATACAAACCAGAGCCCGAGAGCAAAACCACAGAATGGGAGTTAGCAGCACAACGCTCTCACCTACCCTTTGCAATTGCTCCTGGCCCTTCTTTGATTTTTTCTTAGGTGCAAATATCTGATCATATTCTTCTGCATATTCCAGAAGCCGTTTGCTCGGCTTTCTAAGGCGTTTCTTTTCTGAATATGCTATGAAAAAAGAAAACAGCTTCAGGATGAAGTTTCTGAGAAGAGCAAAAGGCTGGCATGAACTCCCCATCTAGCCTGTCCGTAGAGGTTGCTCCAGCACTGTTTTCCGGAAGCACCATGAAGAAAGGGCAGTGTAATCCAGAGGAGAAAAGTCCTTCACTTGATTCTCTTGGACAAATCGTTATCTTTAAGGCCTGTCTGCACTGTGACATAAGCCTTGTGGCACAACCGCAGCTGGCTGGGTCAGCTGACTGTCTCGCTGGGCTATAAAAATGCAGTGTAGACATTCAGGCTTGGGCTGGAGCCTGGGTTCTGGGACCCTGCCCCTCCCAGGGCCTCAGAGCCCTGAGTCTACACTGCAATTTTATACCCCACAGCCCAAGCCCGAGTCGGCTGATCCCGGCCAACTGTGGGTCTTTCACTGCAGTGTAGATTCTAGTTCCTAACTTATTAACCCTTTCTTGGCACAGTGGGTGAGATTTTCAAAAGTGCCCAAGAGAGCCAGGCACCCTGAACTCTCACTGGCAGTCAGAGAGAGCTCACCAGCAGATCCTACACACTGCACGTTCCTCAGGGCACAGACCTGCCTTCCATAGTTTGCAAAGCATTGTAGTATTACAGAAAAATAAATGATAAAAACGCTTCCATTCATAGATTCCGAAGCAAGAAGGAACCATTGTGGTCATCTAGTGTGACCTCCTGCATAGCCCAGGCCAGAGACCTGCCCCACAATAACTGCTAGAACAGTACTGTTAGAACAACATCCAGCCTTGATTTAAAAATTGCCAGTGATGGAGAATCCATCACAACCCTCAGTAAATTGTTCGTGGTTAGTCACCCTTCCTGTTAAAAAAACATATGCCTTATTTCCCATCTGAATTTGTCTAGCTTCAATTTCCAGCCACTGGATCATGTTAGAGCTCTCTCTGCTAGACTGAAGAGCAAATTATTAAATATTTGTTCCTCATGTAGATACTTGTAGACCGTAATCACGTCACCCCTTAACCTTCTCTTTGTTAAACTGAACAGATTGAACTCTTTGAGTCTGTCACTCTGAGGCAGGTTTTCTAACCCTTTCATCATTCTTGTGGATCTACTCTGAACCCTCCCCAATTTATCAACATTCTTACTGAACTGTGGACACCAGAACTGGGCACAGGATTCCAGCAGTGGCCGCACCAGTGCCAAATACGGAGGTAAAAAAAACTAATCCTGAGGGAATTCTGCGCCAAAAAAATAAATATTCTGCACACAATATTTTAAAATCTGCGTATTTTATTTGTCAAAATAACACAATATAATCACACCATTTTCAATTATTTGCTGACAAGTATTTTGAAATAAATTACCAAAAGAATTGAAAATGGTGTGATTATATTGTTGTGTTTCTGTGTTATTTTGACAATTAAAATATGCAGAACTTAGCAAAATTTAATTTTTCAGTGCAGAATTCCCTCAAGAGTACCACGGTTGTGTGTGGCGCAATCTGGATGCAGACAGCTCGGTGGGGGGGTCTGGGTGCAGGGGGGAATCTGGATGCATGGGGGCGCAGTACGGGGTTCTGGGTGCAGGGGGAATGGGACTCTGCAGAGGAGTCCAGGTGAAGGTGGTTAGAGCTCAGTGGGGGGGGAGGGGAACTGGGGTTCAGGGTGCAATTGGTTGGGACTCATTAGGATGGGGTTCTGGGTGTGGGAGGCGCCTGATGCAGGGGGTGAGGCTCGGCAGGGTGGAGGTTTGGGGGGCTTGGTGGTGGAGTTCTGGGTGCAGGGGGATCCTGATGCGGAGGGGGCTCAGTGGGGAGGGGTTCCGGTTGCAACAAGGGGTCACTGTACAGTGAGCTGCTCCACATCCACCCAACCCCTATGCATCCAGACACCCCCCCGCTGGGCCCCCCCCCCCCCCCCCCCCCCGTGCAGCCAGACACACACACATACATCCCACGGTGCAGAGCTTCCTGCAGCTAGGGGAAGTTTCTGGGGCTTGATCTGACCCAGCCCTGGCTGCTCCATGCAGGGAAGGGGGAGGGGGAACTCAGTCCCAGGTTGGGGGGGGGGGGGAAGAGAGAGAGAGCAGGAGGATGGAGACCAACGTTCCTGGGTGGCCAGGGAATCCCCAGACCCCTCGCCCCTGATTGATTTACCTCTCCCGCCCTGAGCTACCAGGGAGGGGTGAGTGAGTACTAGTGCAGCTTCTCTTTGCTTCCCCACAGAAACCATTTTATCTGCAAGGAAGCAAAGGGAATCTGCGGGGTGGGGGACAGGAATTTTTCTGCTGCGCTGCAGGGGCGCAGAATTTTCCCAGAAGTAAATAACCTCCCTATTTCTACTTGAGATTACCCCGTTTATGCATCCAAGGATCACCTTAGCCCTTTTGATCACAGCATCTCACTGGGAGCTCATGCTCAGCTGATTATCCATCACGACCCCCAAACATTTTCAGTCGCTGTCTCCCAAGACAGAGTCCCTTATTGTGTAAGTATGGCCTACAGTCTTGGTTCCTAGATCTATCATTTACATTTAAGCGTATTAAAATGCATAGTTTGCTTGGCCCCAGTTCACAAAGAGATCCCTGTCGCTCTGTATCAGCAACCCGTACTCTTTATTATTTTCCACTCTGCAATTAGTGTGTCATCTGCAAACTTTATCAGTCAAGATTTTTGTTTCTTCCTGGTCATTGATAAAAATTATCAATAGCATAGGGCCAAGAACCATTCCCTGCTGGACCCCTCTAGGAAGACACCCACTTGATGGAGAATTCCCCGTTTACTATTACATTTTGAGACCTGTATCAGAGGGGTAGCCCTGTTAGTCTGAATCTGTAAAAAGCAACAGAGGGTCCTGTGGCACCTTTAAGACTAACAGAAGTATTGGGAGCATAAGCTTTCGTGGGTAAGAACCTCACTTCTTCAGATGCAAGTCAGAAGTGAGGTTCTTACCCACGAAAGCTTATGCTCCCAATACTTCTGTTAGTCTTAAAGGTGCCACAGGACCCTCTGTTATTTTGAGACCTATTAGTCAGTTTTTAATCAGTTTAATGTGTGTCATGTGCATTTTATGTCATTCTAATTTTTAATCAAAATGTTCTGTGATACCAACTCAAATGCCTTACAGAAGTCTATTACATCAACACTACTACCTTTATCAACAAAACCTGTAATCTTAAAAAAAGATAGCAAGTTAGTTTGACAGGATCTATTTTCCATAAACCCATGTTGATCTGCATTAATTACACTTCCCCTGTTAAATTCTTTACTAATGAGTCCCATACCATCTACTCCATTGTCTTGCAGATATGTGTGTCAGGGTTCCAGGCCTATAACTACCCCAGTCATTCCATTTAGTAGTTTTAAATATTGGCACATTAGTTTTGTGGAACTTCTCCAGTGCTCCAAGCCTTACTGACCATCGACACTGATCGTCCAGCGAGTTCCTCAGCCAGCTCTTTTAAACTCTTAGCTAAACCTCTGACAAGACTCCTAATAGCCTGTGCTGTATTGCCGTGCAACACACCTAAACCTTGTAAGCAGCAATGAATAGCTTTCTACGCAATAGGCTATTGGAGCAGGACGCCACAACACTTACTTCCCCCTTTGCTCTTTGAGACACGCCACCACTGGTTTTTGAGCAATGCTGTTCTACTGACTTTCCATCTTTCCTCGTTGAATCATTAAACAACCTTCTCAGGAGATTCCCATTAGTCACGGAACGTTTAAAATCTGATCACTTCAGTCTCTCCAGAGCTCAGAATCTTAGGAACAAACCAAAAATATCTTCCTCCTTCATGAGCTTTTTGTGCACCTCCATGTGTGCGTAGGAGGGGCTATTCTATTTATTTTTTAACTGAGGCACTTCATAACAAAGTGGGAACAGTGGGAGGCCGGGCAGAATCTCGGTGCCTTATTGAGACTTCATGCTTACATAAGTACAAAAAAAATCTACCTGCGCCACAAGTGAAGCGACAATCCCTGTTTGCTTACAACAGCTCTCTCCAGCAGGCAGCAATGCACCATGTAGGGTGCTGTCAGGGTGAGGTACAGGCCCCGGTGCATAGCTGGCCTGGAAGCCAAGAACGTTCTATGCCACCACCACCACCCCGCACACAGCATGTAGCACTGCACTATCAAATGGTTATTTAATATTTTAGCTCACAGGATTGATCTGTACGAAGAGACTCAATTGAACAGTCAGACCACCTCATTCGCCAGCCAGATTACTTTCTTAAAAATATCAGCCATTAGCAACTTCCAATCATCCTCCCTTTTTGCTCATTTGGTGTAGCAATTACACTGGTACCAGAAATATTCCATTTGAATTGAGAGGGCAAATAATACTGTAGCTGAGAACTTCCGCAGCTCAGGATACAGCCTGTAATTATAGTTATGCGGGAGCACTACTATAGTTAAGGTTGCATCATGACATCTGTTTAAAGGTGGACCATTCTAAGTCCTCTGAAATCAACGTGCTTAGTCAGATTTCTTTGAAATTAGGTGTGCCTCAGGAGAGCGCAGGGTAGGATTAGTGACCCAAATTTGGAGTCATTTGAGCCAAGAGTTCCAGAGATTTAAGCCCCAGCAATAAAATAGCCATTAAAAAAAAAACCTGTCTAAGTGGCGTGTCTTTGCCTAGAGATCGAACTACTGATGTGATGCAGGTCAGAATGGTCTCAGCGGAGTATTACCCAAGGTAGTGCATGGCACCCCCTGAATCTCTGGGGACCTAACTTGTGAAGTGTATTTAAGAAAATGGACATTTTTACACAGTCCATAACAGACACATAACTAGAGGGTTTCTACTCCTGCCATTTTATATGCTTTAAAGCTCAACTCTTGTAAGTGCTCTAAAATCCAAATGATTAATTGAAGTGCTTTGAAATTCGGGGTGCTTCACAGGGGTTTAGCACAGCATTAGTGATCCAAATTTGAGGTCATTGACTGAGAGATTCCCAAGTTACAGCCTCTCCCCCAAAAATAGTTCCCTTCTGCTGCCTTATAGTGTTAAACT